AAATTACTAGACATGAAAGTTCCCAACTCTAAATTAAACAGGAGTTGGAACATTATTACTTCCCATTGAGTGCCCACATTTTTGTGTAAACATAGTTGGCCTCACTGATGACAGACTCTGAAGAAACAAACACAGACGTCTCTCTGTATTTGCCAGGTCAGCAATTCTTACCCCTGTGTGTTTGCCAACAGTGTGGAACAAAAACAAAGCGAAAAGCAGCTTTCCACATGTAGAATTTGATGTTCATATGTGATCTGCTACAAACTGCAAGTTTTCTCCTCGGACATGATATAGTAAAGGAACTTGTCACTGATTGTTGCAACTTTCTTTGGTCAAACTAGTAATTTATAAAAAAAACCCTAAAATGTTCTTTAAATAACAAACAGCACAATACAGTTTGAGACACAAGTGTGCAACAATGCTGAAAACTAAGAACGTTTTCATTGTCCATCTAAATCATTTTGTGTTCTGCCAGGAAACACTTTCCATTCTTGCTACATTTCATCATTTGTTTTTGCAGGGAAACGGACTCAAAAAACCCGACAGGCTTGTGAATTCCAGGATCTATTAAAAACACATTTATAGCAAAGTTATACAGGATTGGGCTATTTTTATTGGTCATACAAAAACAACAAAAACAATGCATCATACTCTAAGGCTTTAATTAGAAATGGAACAGATATACTGTTTTTCACACTGAAGTAAGAATACACGCGGTACAAAAAAGAGGACAAGGAATAAATGCAAACAGGCCACTTTTTCTTTGTGGGAAAAATGTGTCCGTTTAAAAAGGAGAGATGTTTAATGTAGATGATGGACTTCCTTAGCAGGGCTCACTGCATGCATGACCACAGGTAGTCCTGCAGCACTTTTGATCTCCTGGACACTGACCATCGTGATAGCAGTACTCAGCACACATGGGGGTGGTCTCAGGCAGAGGACAGCCGCCAGGCTTCACTGATCACAGCGAAGTCAAAAAAATATGATTAGTTACAAAATTCCTTTAAACACTTGGGATGTATATGGGGGTGTTTTCTACTTTGTTGATCTCTCACCTACGTACGGTGCCATGCACTCATGTCCACACCCGTTGGAGCAGCACTTTTCCTTGTCGGGGCAGTCACTGTCATTAGAGCAAAATTCAGCGCACCGTCCGTAGCCCAGGCGCCTGCGAGGACACACTCCTGGTTTTACTGAAAGAAAAGAGAAATCAGTATAGACAAAGAGATAGAACAGGAGAGTGTGGTACACGGGCCTTTTGACTGACTTTTAGACAGCTGAGACTTGAAAGAAAAGAGCAGAAAAGCATTACGGATCAGCCGTACCAAATGAGACATGAGTTATGATTTTGAGTGGTTACCAATTTGGTTGCTAAACAAACAAGCACGCGCATTTCAAAAAGAATCCGTAAGCAGTCAGATAATGGGTTGAAGAAATTTGAGTCAAAAGAAACTTGCCTGTTATTTTGCAACAAGCGCTCGCTGAAAGAACAGTGTCAAAGTGCGCTAATGCGCAAAATGCTAAAATCAATGCGCAAATTGTCCACCAGTGTCTGTCCATGTTCACTTCTTGCTCAAAACATGTACAGCTGTGTGCAAAAATACTGTACACTAGTCCATAGCCACATGCTGAGCAGGCCACTTAGAGGATGCTGGGTCCTTGTGCCTGTAGAGTTACAGATAAAATATGGCATGTACTGTGGTATGAATCTTCTAATGTTGTTTACATGTTAGTAATAAAACTCCACAGCTGAAAAATGTTATGATGAACAATAGTTTTTGTCATGTGACCTAATTTTACCTTCACTTTATTTTAGTGCTTCCAGCAAATGAATCAATTTCTCGTCCAACAGTATCTGACATGTGCGAAGCGGTTTATTTTCTTTTTAACCAGTGAACCAGCCCGCATTTCCATCTAGCATTATTAGACTCCATAGACAAAAAAACAAAAACAATATGTGGTTGGATTATTTACACACTTCAGAAACAAATTTGATACAATAGATCAGATGAGGAGTTTTAAAGTAATTTCAGAGGTTTTTTTTTAAGAGAGTGGCACCAGTTTGTGAAGTTAAATGAATTCTTGCTCATATATTAGAGAAGGAAGTTATGCTTCTGGTGTCCCCCAGGGGTCAGTGTTGGGCCCTAAATTGTTTAAATCACACATCAATTACATACTTAAGGTGTCCACAATATTAATAATGATTCTGTTTAAGACTAATAATTTCTGCTCTGGTGATGATTTACAGCATTTACTGGATGGGATGACTTTATGACTCTACAAAATAACTATTGTTTAGCGTGTTAGCTTAAGGGTGATGTGGAGGATGGCCTCTCTGTTCAGTTTAGTTGGGTGTGTGCTTGGCGTGTACACCACTGTGCAGACCACACAGTCCATTGCAGAATATTTTACTTCCCACAGAAATTCTACAAGAAGTGTTGGTAAGTCTCAAGCAGCTACTTCTTCTTTTCTCCACAAGGTGGAGAACATGTCTTAGTCTTCCAATCTAACTTGTTTATTAGTTTTTGTTCCAACATTACATGCTGTCATTGACTGAATATTGTCACATAGTATCATATTTATGTAAATTAGTAGGCTGTGCTAAAACTAGGGATGCACTGATAAAATGAAATGATAAACAAAGTAAAGAATAAATAAATAAAGATTTGGCTTGATAAAAACAAATCATTACATTTGATTAAAACTGAAATATTTTTTATTTGGAAATAGGACCGAAAGATGTCAACGATTGATTTTAACTGGTTGTTTCAACAGAGCTTTCCAAATTGAGTGTGTGAAATTCTACATATGGCCACTCTGACAAAGTCATTTTTCTGCAGTTTTTGTGTGCTCACAAACTGTGAAATGTTCATGCTATTTACTTCTGATTTTCCGCTTTTAGCACTTAAATTCCTCCCCTGCACAGAATGGGGAGCAATAATGGAAACAGCCGTGTGTTTTGCTTTAGCAGCAGGTATCATTTATACAAATCTATGACAGTGTTAAAC